CGACTCCCTTTCATCTGGTTGGAACTTGTAAGATGGGACCAAAATCGGACCCTCAGGCTGTGGTCGATGAGAGGTTAAAGGTTTATGGAGTTGATCGTTTGAGAGTCGTGGATTCTTCGATTATGCCGAAAATTTCTAGAGGTAATACGAATGCTCCTACTATTATGATCGCGGAGAAAGCTAGTGATATGATTAAGGAGGAATGGTTGTCTAGCGGCATTTGATTTACATGATGTATATTGTATTGTATAAACCTTCATGGTGATAATTAATTGCCTCTACTTATACGCTGTAATACTAAAATAATTATTAAAGTAACAAATGATATAATATTGTAATGACAAAATGAACATGTTTATGTACGCAATACAATAAACAAATTGAGTAATATTATGTTTAAGTTAATTACAATTTATTTACTCCACTATTGAAATAAATTTAGTTAGTATTAAGTTAAATGTTATAATTAAAAGAAGTTTTTCTTTTAAGGACGCTTGTTGGTAAGATTGTTATTATAGTATATAGTTGTAATCAAATTATATAGTTGTAATTATATTGTAGCTATATATATACATATATTTTTACTAGTTACAATTGTCTAGATTTATACTTTTACGGACAGACGAATAAAATTTAAAGTGGGATTTTTTACCAAAGGAATGAAATTATGTCTTTCTGCTTTCTAATTTGTACATTTTATCTTTACCTTTTTATTTTTTTCTGATATTTTATGAAGTTTTGTATCAATTAATACATTTAAACATCCCTAGGTTTCTTTATTATACAGAGTGTCTATTTAAGTGAGGCTACCTAAATGTTGATATAAGAAATATTTTTCACTTACCATAAATGGTATTTAAGGACCATTTTTAAACTTAGACCATGTTAGGAATTCCTCTGGTAATTTGCACATGATGTTTGTTGACGCAATTGGCCGATAACTATTTGTGTTTTGCTTGCTTTGGTTTTGTTTGGCTTTGGAATTGGAATTACTATCATTTTCCGCCACTTGTCAGGAAAGACTTTGTAAAACCAAATATAATTGAAGATCTTCAGCAGGTAATTTATTCCTATGGAATTTGGGGACATTTTTAATAGCGAGAATGGGACATTATCTGGTCCGGGAACGGAATTTTTAGTTAGTGATAGTGTTTATTTTCTTAATTATTAGTGGTGAATTTAGCAATTGCTTGCTATCGTCGTCGGTCTGATCTTGAAGTATATGTGTCATAGCTTATCTATTGTCATGAGCTGTTGGAATTTTCCTTGTATTTTCCTGCCTGTTAGTGACAGGCTTGAGTTACTAGCCATTATATTGTAATAATCACTCCGTTAGCGTGGTTTTTTTATTTTCCCGAATTTTTCAACTTAATGATTTAATGATTTAGGAAGATGATTTTTCTTGAAGTTAGTTTTTTTCGAGACAAATGATGTCAAAACTGAGTTGTTTTAAAAGAATTTGGAATTGTTCGTAGTGGGTGTAGAAGCCAGTTATGTTCCAATGAATTATCGATTTCATAATTGGAATTCAGTTAAAAGTTTTATTATTGGTGATTATTGCCTTCTATGTAGAATTCAGATGAACAACTGATTGGTGCATCTCTTTTTTTGTTTCGACAGGTTTAGTAAACTTTTTATAGAGTCGATGTATCCTGTTTTTTAGGCTTCTCTCTGTTGACATGAAGATACATTTCTGTAAGCGTTTGTGTGAGAATCAGAATCTGTTATCAGTGTAGTCTCTAACTATTTCTATTGGCCGAGTTGATACGAAGGTGTCTTGTAGGAAGTTTTTAAGCTTATTCATATTTAAGCAATTCATATTGTTGATTACGTTTGCTTTACCTTAAGTTTAACACTGGGAGCTGGAGATTGGGACCGTATTGGTTTAGGCTTGGATGGTGTCATTTTTGTAAATGAATTGGTTCGTGAAGGCAAGAAGTCGACGTTAAATCTAACATAGTCGGATTTATAATAGAGGTCTTTTAACACTGGAAATGTTTATGTTGCTCTGCAGGTAATTTGTTAGACGAGGTATTTCATATACTTCATATACTATATAATTATAATATAACTTAATATACATTATAATTACAGTATAATTTGACTTCGTAGAGAAATTTATTTTTCATCTTAATTTTTCTATTTTTTCACCGATTACTTTTCCTTATTAATTCTGAGAGTTTCTTTTAATAAACAATAATAATCATTTTCATATTGATTTAATAAACTTTTAAACTATAATCTGTAATAAAAAAGTTTTTTGAACTTTTAATTAATAATATTGTATTATTTATTATTTTACTATTACATAGATAGAGATAGTTATATTTGACAATTAATCTACAAATCTTCCTTTCATCTACTTTTTGATCAAATCATACAAATTCAATCCCTTTTACCAAACAACCATTCCTCCTTAATCATATCGCTAGCTTTCTCCGCGATCATAATAGTAGGGGCGTTCGTATTCCCCCTAACAATTTTTGGCATAATCGAAGCATCCACAACTCTTAATCCATTGATCCCATAAACTCTCAATCTCTCATCCACCACAGCGTCAGGATCCGATTTTGGCCCCATCTTACAAGTCCCAACCGGATGCGAGATAGTCGTGGTATACTCCATCATCACGCATTTCCAATAATCCCTAACACCAAATTCAAATTGTCGACAAGCAGGCAATGGCTTATCCATCAAACTAAAATCATTCTTCTTAAACAATTCTGTATCAAATAGCTTTAAAGCTACTTCCACCCCTTCCACCAATACATCCAAATCACTACGATTGGTAAAATATCCAGGATAAATTAAAGGCGACGCCCACAGAGGATCACTATCATTTAATAATATAAATCCCCTACTTTTAGGTGATAATAAAATTGGATGAATATTTACAGCATCGTAATAGGCTAATGATTGGACAGGTAAATCAATAAATTCTCGTGGGTTATTTAAAATATTCTCCTGATTTCCTCCAAGATTTAAAATCTGTATGTCAGGCACGCTATTTTCGTGTTGGAAGGTTGTTTGTAAGAAAACAGAGCAAGAAGTAGTACCAGTTGCAGATAAAGGTCCGCTATGAGTCTTCTCATAATAGAAAACATCTTCCTCCATCATAGAGTTATTTTTCCTCGTGGAAGTCAGATTCAGTGCAATTACTAAACCGTACATGCTCACATGGTCTTGCAGATTCCTTCCAACTGATAAATCACTAATTACATTAATACCATGTTTGTTTA